CTCTGAAGTAAACTCGGAAGTAAACTCATTTAAAATGTGACAACTTCCCGGTTCTGGCAGAGTGCAGTTAGTTCTCAAGGAGTTCTGAAGAGAATTCATGGGGAATTCAGAGAGGGCAGTCGGTTCCAAGAGATTCCAGAGAACTAGAGTTATGGAGAGTTTTGGAGTTAGAGTCTGAGAAGATCTGAAAGAGTCTGAGAGCTGCTGACAATGAAGAGTCAGAGTTGCCGAGAATCCAGAGACGTTTTGGGATTATAATTCTGTTTGAACTAACCACGCACGACTCTCCAAGGATTTTAGCTGTTCTCAACGGAGACGCTGATATCAGTCTGAAGGATTCTTACTGAGGTGATCTATCGTCAACAAGGTAACAGTTTCTTCTTCGACTAAAGTGTACCTGGGATAAGCTGAGATACCTGATGGGAGCGTGCAATTTCTGGTCAACAGATATTAATTCCCTCACATATTTCTCTGTAAGATAAATCTCAATTTCCTCTTAAACTCACCTCTCTCTCATAAATCAGTACAGATATTTTTAGAAATATCTGAAGCAAAGTCCTCAAATCACCGCCGAGTGATTTGAAGTTCAATATTTGTGAAACTTGTCTGTTATTATTTTCATATTTTGCCAAATTAATGTAAATGTTTGATGTTAAACTTTGATTCTGAAAATAAATGACTCCATTCATTTTGATGGGTCAAAGGTAAATAACGTCTCTCGTTCGCATTTCTGTTAAATTCAATGCACGGCATTACACAGTCAGAAAGATGAGGAACTCGTGAAAAAGTATGCATATAAACGGGGATATATTGTCATACTACAACTAGTGACACGTACCCACGTGACTCACTACATTAGGACAAAGGATGTTGCCTTTAACTTCACATTTTGTTCAACCTGCAGTCACTGCAGATGAGTGATTGTCAGTTTCTGTAAGATTTCTGCAACTGGAGCAGGTATTTCTGTTTACTGGTTAACTTCCTCAGCTGTCTCGCATTTTAAGGGTCAGTCCTATTCCATGTTTCAGCTCCTTGCTTAGATTAGATCTTATAGAAGAACACTTCTAAAGAGAACATTTTGTTTTCAGCTTTTGTTTTGGGTCATTATCTCATTACAGGACTCATAATCTTTAATTGAGACCAGACTTTTTGACAAATGGGAGCAGGTTTCACTTCAGATGCTTCATATTTCATTGTACCCAGACCACACTCAAAGCAACCTGTGTCAGGTGCAGCTACAACCAAGAACAAACAAGAATCTTCTTGTGTTTGACAGCAGATCTAATGCTGTTTCTTAGAAACTTTCAGTTTTAAAAAAGAGCTGACGTAACTTACTTAAAGAGCAGCAAATACAGCTAGCCAATCAGTGTTTGTCTCTACAAACGCCTATTCTCCAGAAACGCCCACTTTTGGTCTGCAGAGAACCCCTTCTCTTTGGGACGGGTGGAGAAGTGTGCAATAAAATACAGAAGAGTTTAAGACACCCACAACCTTTACTATGTTGAACATAAACTTCTTGCACAGATTTATTTATTTTTGATCATGTTCATAACTTCTGACACAGGACTGCTCACTTCTACACAATGAATTTAAGAACTACAGCGACCATTGTGAGACATTCTAGAAAACCCCTCGTGAATGCTGTTTGCCAAATACGAGTGGGGGGGAATAAAGTTGTCTGTTCTTGTGATCATCCAGATTCTGAAGCTCAACAGGCGTTTACAGCTGCTGGAGGAAGAAAACAAAGAACGCTCCAAACGAGAAGTGGTCCTGTATTCTGCCACGGTGGCATTCTGGCTCATCAACACGTGGATCTGGTTACGTCGCTAAAACGGGCTCGGATGAGTTCCCAAAACACTGGAAAACCAAGACAAATCCTTGTTTAGCATGAGTCTTTTCCAGCTCTTAACGCTAGTCAACACTTACTGAAATTTTCAACAGCACACCTCCTGCTGCAGCAGAAAATTCTGTTTGGGATCAGTTTACTGATTTTAAAGCCACCAGAGAAGACCGAAAACAGAAACGCCTGACCGTTTACTTGTAGACACATGAGCAAATGCTGAGCAGCAGCAAGTGTTAGCTGCTTAACACGACAACCAGAAAAAGTCAGACTTGCTACGTCTGGTGTTCGTAGAGGCAGCGTTGAGTCTGAAGCCACATTCAGCATCACCTTCACACTCCTTACTGAACTAATTGTTGAAAATATCTCCGACTCACACATTCGGCCTCAGTTTGGATGCTCTAACAGTCAGGACAACAGTGAAGATCGAGGACAACAATCCCATCACTGCATGTGATGGTATGTGAAAATTAGGTATATCGAATATTATGATTTAATTGATATCTTATTTATTTAATAAATAAGCCTTAGAACCTGAGAACATCCTGTTTATTGACACATGGAGGGCTTTCTACATGTGAGTGTCATGTAGTTTTCTCAAAAGCAACAAAAAAAAATACCTGTAGATTAAAATATTAGTGGAGGTGTTTTCTGTTTATTAGCAACTCTGAGCTGGTTGTTTCTTTCACATAGAAATCAAGTTTTATTTTTCTCTTGTTGAAGTGCAGCTAATTAAATCTTTAGTTTCTATGCAAGTATAAATTGCATGAATTGTCTTTTTATAGTAGGGTCTGTTCTCTTCCTCCTTGCAGCTGTCAGACAAAATCAAACCAGCATGGCGACTTCTTTCTCAACGTTACAAAAAAATACTGATAATTTAGTGTCTTAAAATTCATACAAAACACAACGGAGTTGAATTTGACTACAAGAAGCTGCAGTTGAAACTGCAACAAGAACAAGGTACATGTAAAACAAGTACATTTAAATTTGTTGTGTATTATCTCAAAGTAAAACAATATTTTTACAGTAGTACTGCTTATTTTAAGCATCTGATTGGTGTTTTGCCTCTAACCTGATTCTTTTGAAGAGACAGCTGCCCTTTTTTTTTTTTGTTGCTTTGTTTTTCTTATTTCTGTCTCAAGATCTGACATGAGTGGGGTGGACGTTTAAAATAGTTGCTATTCCAAAATTTACCACTAGAAATCAGTGTTCCTGTCAAAACTGGGCACAGATTACCACAAATATTTAGAGATTGTAGCAGCACAGAACAAAAACAGCAGTTTACAGTAAAGTGGAATGAGTCCATCACAGTGAGGAATCATATTGAATTGAGTTTTAAATTCAGTTAGATATGAGATTAAATCAATTTTAAAAACAAACAAAAGGTTAAATCATGTCATCTGGACCAGTTTCTTTAAGGGAGAAGCATTTCGTCTTCCATCCGGAAGACTTCATCATTCTGTGGCCTGCCAACCAGATCTGTCCCATAAGTAACCTTCATTGTTGATTCTCAAGCCAACCTCCAACCTGGGTGATTGAGCCTACAAACCAATTTTAGAAACCTTCTCTACATTCATAAAACTCATATTTATTTTCATTAAGGACAAAATAAACACTAAAGCTGATCTATATTCATATATAAATATCAACTTTGACTATCATAATATTCCATTTAAGTCCTACCCCTAAGAGAACATTATAGCTCAGTTTAAGCCAGTATCTCTCCTATCTGGAAATTTTGTGGAGTAGTTGACAACAAAAGTTGTGACGTTTGCTCAAAATGGCCCCAATATTCTGTTGTGGTCTCACTGAACTTGTCTTGTTATAGTAACATGTCTCAAGTTCCCATTGTTGGGTTAAAATTTGCTAGGAAATCTCAAAATATGCTGCATGAGTATCTGAAGAATGTCCTGCGACTGCAGCGCAACAAAATACATCATTATATATATTTTTAATCGGAACCATTGTTCAGTTTTTGCATCATAGTCATTTATAATAGATAAAATCTGGATCATACAAATACTGAGTTTGTGTCTACAGATCTTACTACAGAACATGTTGCAGATGAACAGTCAGCATCAATGTATCAGAGCCATAAATCATCCTTTACTCCTAATGATGTTGGAGTGACTCGCATCACAAGCAGTCTGTGATAAAGTCCATGCAAACAAGGATTTACTTGAGTGATTTATGTTTTAGAGCTACAGAAATAAAACTTCATGCTGCTCACTTGAAGTTAATTTGTTGGTTCTGAAAAGTGTCAAAACGTTCTCAGTAAATCTACAGCTGCCATAAGATTTATTCTGAATGTTGAATCTTAATCCAAGCTTTAGTGCGATGTACTCGACTTGTTATTGCCATTCTTATTCTTCAAATGTTATTTACATTTAAGCCCTTTGTTTTATTTTTATACATTTGTTGGACAGTCACGTTTTTAAAATAGAACAGTATAGTTTTCCTACAACGCAAGGCTAAAACCATAAACTTTCTGGTATTCATTGTTTTCTGTTGCATATAAATAATATTTATTGGTGTTATTTAAAAAGAATCATACAGACTTATTTAAATCCCATGTGATGATGTAGCTTTCAAAACTTGTTGCAATGCTCATTGTTCTGTGAAGCACAGTCTGCAAATATCATTTAAAACTTGTGGGTATTACTTTTCTAAGTTATTTTATTCAGTGTGTAAATATTAATAAAAGCTGGATGACCATGACTTCCTGACTTGTTTGTGAATTACTGCCCCCTGCTGGTAGAAGGTTGTGGTGTTTAAAACCCGGTCTGGACTTGATGTGGCGCTTGTAGCTACACGTTTTAGAAATAAAAAGAATAGCTTAAACAAAGTTTCTCTGTGTCTTTAAGCAAATATTTACTATAAGTTACCAACAAGCAGAACAGTTACTTTCTTTTTTCTACTGTCGTAACAAACCGGAAGTGTTCAACTTTTTTAAAGAACTTTATTAACAATTCCAAAACAACAATACAAGATATAAATACTGTCCAAAAACAGGTGAACGGTGTCATAACTACATTTTGCAAAATAGTTTTTTTGTTACAAAATAATGAAAGCAAAAATAAAAACAAAGGAGCAAGACTATATGAGAAACTTGAACCAAAAAGTTTTTAGATGCCTGTTGTGACGGAAACACGGAAGTGTTCCTCAGCTGCGGCTCGTCTCTGAAAACTAATTATGGGAATCACTAAACTGTCTGATTTAATCCGCTCAAGCGCTCCTGGTGCGGTTTCTTACAAGGATATCAGTGATTATACAGGTAACAAACGTGATGCTATGCCGGATTTACGTTTTATTTTGTTTTTTTATTCCTCTGTAGCTAGCAGCCGCTAACATTAGCGAGCAGTCACGTGACAGGCTCTAACTAGTTTAACTGATCGTAAAAGCGTTCATGCTCCATTATCACAGTTATTGTGGCCGCTAATATTCATGCTTGCAGTTTTAGGGTGTAGATCTACTGCTATGTCACGTTTTAACTTAATCTAAACGAGTAATTGTTGTTGCTGTTGTCATCTTTCTTTGTTGAAATCAGGTCTCTTGTAAATGAGTCCTCGAGGCTCAATGGGATTTACCTGTCTAAATAAAGGTTGATTGATTGATTGATTGTAATGAAAGGAGAAAATCATATTTTTTTCATCTTTTCCTTCTTCAGGGGTTTCCACAGCAAGTCGTCCTCCTCCATCTCTCTGTCCTCTGCATCCTCTGTCCTCACAACTACCTCCATGTCTTCTCTAACTGCATCCATACATCTCTTCTTTGTCTTTTTCCTGGCAGCTGCATTTCTAACATCCTTCTACCAATATACCCACTGTCCCTCCTCTGGACATGTCCAAACCATCTCAGTCTGGCCTTTTATCTCCCAGTTGTTCAACCTGTGCTGTGCATCTGATGATCTCATTCCTAATCTGATCCATCCTTGTCACTCCTAAGGAGAACCTCAACATTGTCATTTCTGCCACTTCCAGTTCTCTCTCCTGTCTTTTTGTCAATGCCACTGTCTCCAGACCATACAACATATCTGGTCTCACAACAGTCTTGTAAACTTTTCCTTTGACCTTTGCTGACACACTTTTGTCACAAATCACTCTAATCACGTGTCAAACTCAAGGCCCTGGGGCCAAATGTGGCCCTCGTTGACATTTTCTCTGGCCCCCAAGATGGTATGTTAAACATAAAATACTTTTATCACTTAAATTATTTGAGTAATCTTTGATTATGATGTGGAAAGTGCAACAGAGAACGTCAAATGAGACCAAGCAAACTCTTGTTGAAGAACATGTGACCAAGAGAAGATGTTGGCTGTCTGACTTGAGTTAATGCAGTTTTTGAAATTGGCCCTTAGTTTGAACCAAGTTTTTAATTTTGGCCCTTTTTTGTAAGTGAGTTTGACACTCCTTCTCTAAACAAACCCCAATATTTATATAAACCCCGTCACTAAATGCTTCGAAAAACTGGTAATGACCCACATCAAAACAACCATCGACATTGAGGACCCTCACCAGTACGCATACTGCGAGAACAGATCTACAGAAGACGCCATCTCTTCTGTGGTCCACACTGCTCTCACCCACCTGAAGCAGAAGGACTCCTACGTCTGTATGCTCTTTGTGGATTTCACATCTGCCTTCAACACCATGATCCCCCAAACCCTGAGAGGCACACTACTCACATTAGGACTAAGCCCCTCCATTTGCAACTTGGTCCTAGACTTCTTAACAAACAGATCACAGTCAGTGAGGATCCACAACTTCTCCTCCTCCATCATAACCCTCAGCACTGGCTCCCCTCAGGGATGTGTGCTGAGCCCCCTTCTGCTCACTCTGCTCACATATGACTGTGCACCTACCCATCCAGGCTGTCACATTGTAAAGTTTGCAGATTATACAACGGTGATTGGATGCAGCACAAACAATGATGAGTCCAGCTACAGGCAGGAGGTGGAACACCTGGAGAGCTGGTGCAGGAAGAACAACCTCCACATCAATGTGAAGAAGATGAAAGAGATTGTTTTGGACTTCAGAAGGAACAAACTCACCTACACCCCCCTGAACATAAGAGGATCTGCAGTGGATGTGGTCTCCAGCTACAAGTACTTGGGTGTACACATGAATGACAACCTCAGCTGGAGCAACAACACCACCAGCCTGATCAAGAAAGCTCATCAGAGACTCTACTTCCTCAGACGGCTGAGACGAGCTGGTCTGGGAAGCTCAGTCCTCACCTCCTTCTACAGGTGTGCAGTGGAGAGCATCCTGTGCTCCAGCATCAACGTGTGGCATGGAGGCTGCACAGCTGCAGAAAGAAAAGCTTTGCAGAGAGTGGTGAAGGCTGCACAGAAGTCTGTTGGAGTTAGTCTCCCCACCATCACAGACATCTACACCTCCAGATGCAGGAAGAGAGCCACCTGCATCATGGAGGACCCCACTCACCCAGCACAAACACTTTTTGCCCCACTCCCCTCAGGAAGGAGGTTGAGGAGCATTAAGTGTAGAACCACTAGACTGAGGAACAGCTTCTACCCTGAGGCTGTTAGACTCATGAATCTCTAACCAAAATAATCACTGTGAAAAATCACATCATGTTGCTGCTGATCTGTTTCATGTTGCTGCTGATCGGTTTCATGTTGGTGTGTTTATGCGTGTTCATCTGCTCACACAGACTCATGTTTGCGCTGCTGTTTGGCGTGTTGTTTGTTTTTATGCTATTAGTGCTTAGTGTATTTTTAGTTTAATGTTTTTTTTAGTTCATACCTTAGATCTTATTACTGTTTAACATTTTATACTTTTTGTTGGATGTAACTGGGACCCTGAGTACACAATTTCGTTCCACCACATGTACCACATGTGGTGCGTATGACAAATAGAGAACCTTGAATCCTACTGTCATGATGCAACAGGACATTGAGCCTAAACACAACAGCTAATCTACAACCGTACGGTTCATAAAGAAAAGAATCAAGGGGCTACCATGTTCCAGTCAAAGTTCTGAGCCTCTGCCTGGTTGAAGGCAGTGCTGGGACCTTACAAGAGCTGAGCAGAAACAAATGTCTGCAAACCTCAATGAACTGAAGCAATACTAAAAAAAAGGGGGGTCAAAATTCCTCCACAACCACGCGAGAGGCTGAATTTCCCCAATGTGGGATATATTTTCTTAAATCTGTCTTATAACTATGTATTGTCATCTGAATTCAGACAACAAAATATAACATATATGTAGAGCCTGACTAATATGGAAATTTTGACCAAGAGAAAAATAAGATAGAACTTTATTGATCCCGCAGGAAATTGTTTTGCCAGAGTTTCAGTACAAAGGAACATACACAAGGAATCACACAAGATATAACAGTAACAGAATATAAATCGCCTATCGGTTTAATACGGTTCAATATCAGTATCGACTATCGCCGCGATACTGATATTGGGTAAGGCTAGTGCTGTTGACCAGTAAACTGGCTGAAAATTTTTGAGCTTTGTCCGTCCACAAGAATCTAAGTAAACAGCTACTTTTAAACCTGTTTTAACACTTGAAGTCAAGTCAAGTCAAGTCATCTTTATTTGTAGAGCACAATTAAGTGCTCTGAAGTGTTCAAACAGTCTTGCTAAGGTGCGCTCACATTTTCTATCCTCCACTACTCACCATAAAGTTATCAAGCGTGTCACAAAAATATAAATTAAGCAAAGATAAGTCCTTCCCTGTTCATTGTTTAAACAGTCATGTATGGTGAAGGCCTAATTAGTATTGATCGTAGCGGCTATATTTTTTTCTTTGCAGAGAAGTAAAGATTTCAGACAAACAACGAATTTCATTGAGGACAACAAAGATAACGTTACTAAAACTAACACTGATATATTTTACCTCTACGTTAGGTTTATTGTTCTGGATAAAGTTTTAAAAGGTAATAGCCTATGCTAGGTTATCTAAACATTAGCTTGCTAACTTGAGAGGCACGTAGCTAATGATAAGCAGGTTGGAGGATTGAAGAGAACGTATTATTGTTCTTTATTTTATTTTATTTTACAGATCAGATAAAATAAACTTACCATGCACTGTTCAGCAAAATAAGCTACACAGTATTGCTCCCTGCTTCATCTGTGCTGAAAGGGAAAGTTAAAGCAGCCATGACTTGAAAGTAGTCTGCATGCGCCCTTTGTTGGATACATTGTACAATTATTGTGTCTTATGCCTTATGTAATGTTCTCATTTTTACTTTATTTTACTTTATTACTATTCGCACCTTATGTCGAAGCAAATTCCTAGTTGTGAACCTCGTTCATTGACATGGCAATAATAAACTGATTCTGATTCTGATTATTCCATTTGCAAGTAAAGACACGGCTCGTTCCAGCATTTTAGGGGTGAAAATTAGAAGTTAACGCATAATGAGTCATTTTTCATTGATACCGATATGTCCCCCAACGCCTATATCAGCCTAAAATATTGATCCTACCGATATATCGGTCAGGCTGTACAGATATGTACTGCCTTTGCAACACCAGCGAGTGTAATGTCAATTAGTCAAATGACAATGACAAATAAACAAAATTATCACACATTTACTGATTTTTCTAATATCTGAGGTTTTGACTTGATTTATATATATGTATATATATATCCACCTAAAGAACTTGAGGATTGTTTGAAGTCATATTTTTATCATACCTTTAAATAGTTTGAATGGTAAACTAAATGAATGTGTTCTTTAGGAAACAATGAAGAAACGGACTGAACCTTTTTTGTTCTGTGTCCTAATGAAAAGCAGTTCAGTGTGAATAAAAGCCTTTGTAGCTAAAGGAAGATTGTTGCTTTTGTTTATGATGATGCAGCTCTGTTCCTCTGCAGGAAAAGTGGTTGCTCTGGATACGTCTGTTGTTTTGCATCAGTTTCGAGCAGCAACGCCCTCACTCAGGTGAGAGATCAGCTGAACAATTATCTCCGAGCCTAAGCAGAATTGTATTTATGCTCGTTTTCTTACATGTTCCTCATATTAATCCTTTGGTTTGACCCAAACAAAATACAAAAACATGTACAGTACAGGTTGCGAAGATATTAATTTAACCCTTTGGTATTTCTATTTTGTTGCATTACAGCCTGAATTTCACTTAGATTAAGTTATAAACCTACAGTAAATTAAGAGTAATTAAATGGGTAAAAGTAGTGTTAAATTAGTCATAAAAAAAATATAGAAAACTAAAAAGTGTTGCATGCAAATAAATTTAACCACTTTGCTTTGAAGCCCCAATCATTACCTCAAAAAGCCACATAAGTTAAATAAGATTCATCTGTGAACAAACAGCGTGCCAGATGATCTCGTTATTTAAACACCTGTTCTAATGGAGAACTGCTGATCTGTACTACTAAGAAATACAGTTCAGGGTTTGATTATAAAAATATACCAGAGCCCTGAACATCCCACAGAGCTCCATTGTATCCATTATTGCAAAATGGAAAGATTATATCAACATTGTAAACCTGCCAAGAAAGGATCAACCACCAAAACTCAGGATTCAGGCATGGGGCTGCATCTATCAGAGAAGAAAACTAGAGACCAAAGATCTAATGAAGAGATAGGAGGACTTGTCCTTGGCACCACTAGAAGCTGGGCTTCATGGAAGTGTGGCAGTAAAAATATATTACTTAAAAAAAATAAAAATAAAAAATAAGGCAGATCATTTAGAATTTGACAAATGACATTTTGGAGACTTCAGATTTGTGGAAGAAGTTTCTATAGTCGAGACTAAAACTGAACTTTGTGGCACCAAGGACAACTTCATGTCATGAGCAAGCATGCTGAGTACACCACCCCCACTTTGAAGCATGGTGGTGGCAGCATCATCCTGTGGGATATTTTACATCACCGGGGAGTGGGGAACTGGTCAGAGTCAAAAGAAAGACGGACGGAGCAAAGTACCAAAACATTCTTGAGTGAAACCTGTTGGAATCTTTCAGAGAACTGGGACGAAGGTGAGCCTTCCACCAGGATAATAACAAGCTCTCTGCTGAAGAAACACTCCATGGGTTCGTGCACAGCCAGTTAAATGTCCTGGGATGGTCCAGTTAAAGTCCAGATCTCTGTCGAACTGAGGATCACTGGTTTGATTTAAAGATTGCTGGACACGAGCAGCACCCATCCACCCTGAAGGAGCTGCAGCAGTTTGGTCATGAAGAATGGACAAAAAGTCCCCATGAGATGGTCCAAGATCACAGAGATAGACCTGCTCATGGCATTATGAAAGCTTTTTATTCATTAAAAATACTTATTCAAAGGGGTAGATCTTTAAAAAAAACAACAATAGATACAAACACTTCCAAAACTACTATTAAATTCCAGGTTTTAGGCGACGAGCAGAAAAAATGTCTAGTGTGAAAACTTGGCAACCCACTGCCGAAAAACTGGTCAAATTATTCTGTAATTTTTTGAGTTCCAGTTGCCTCAATAGTTTTGTGGGAGAACTTGATGCGTTTGAATGTTTTGTAGTGATGTTGGACTGCATTAGGGTGGACTGGTTTTTGAACTATTAGCATCATCTTACAGTTGGATGTTCAACACAGACCATCAGATTAAACTGGAATACATTTGTTCAAGCACATACAGCTGTATGGGTTCTCTGGTGGGTGGATTAGCCTGAAATGTTTCTCATTTTTCTCTCTGCAGCCCCATCACTGGTCTCTTCTTCCGCACACTCAAATTCCTGGAACATGACATAAAGCCAGTCTTTGTATTTGATGGAACCCCCCCTAAAGAAAAGACACCCGTTGTAAGGAAACCTTTGATTCACCTTGTCCACAAATACCATCTTGTCCTACTTTTATGTGTCAGGGAGATGACGTCCACATCCTCACATCCTTGACTCACATTAGCTGTACCGCCCAAACTTGTTCTTGACTGTGTCCATGTGTTTATGTGTTTGTTAGCAAAATAACTCCTAAACCACTGGATAGTTTTAAATAAAACTTACAGAAAGCAATTGTAGATATCCTTAACTGATTATTTTAGGAGTCAACCCACCTCAAGATAAGTGAAGTTGCTCAACGCAAAAATGGCAACAACTCGGTCAGTTTTACAGGTGTCGTGCTAAAATTTGATGTGATGGTAGCTGTCTGTTGGCATCAACACACACTCTGTATGTGGCATCTCATGGTAATGCATGAGATTGCACATACAGTATCGTTCTATTCAAAGTTTGACCAAAACGACTACAGCTCAAACGTCTTGGTCTGAATGCTATGAAAGGTGGTGGGTGATGAGCATTCCTTCATTTCTTGGAGCAGTGACCGATAATTGTCACTTTCACTGTTTCTGCAGCTTGAGAGGCGAGCTGAGGCAGCTGGTTGGAGCTTCAAACCTCCGGGGATAGGTACAGTCATACAGAGAATATAAATGTTGTGGTTTAAGGTTAGAGTGTAGTTCCTAAAGTTCCTTTTGTTTTTCACTGCAGCATCATCTCGGACCAGATCATGTCTAGAGCTCCTGAAGCATCTGGGTGTTCCTGTCATCCAGGTTCAGCACACTCATTAGACGTGCTTTCAGCTTCACCCTCACATCATTTGTCCTTCACCTCATGGGCCAGAGATTTCTCTTTCAGGCTCCAGCGGACGCCGAGGCGATGTGTGCACGGCTGGTGCGAGACGGGACTGCCGACGCAGTGGCATCAGAGGACATGGACACGCTGCCCTTTGGGGCTAATGTTCTTATTCGTCAACTGAATGCTAAAAGAGACAGGTGGGGACTTTCACTTCATAGAGTGCTCTGACGACTATGAAAGAGGCTTTCTTAATTTTTAATTTACAAGTTTAACTTATGTTTGTGGCACATTTCTACTGTGGGACGTTTGGACGTTTAAACTTTCCAAGTAAAAAATACAAATTTAGACACACAATTTAAGCTGGTGGTAAATGAGCTTAAACAGGCCACATTTTGGTTGATGAGTTTTTAAATTAGCACTGATTTAAATCAAATACAGTGGAAAATTGTCGTATGAAGTTGCTTTTTGAGTAAATATATAATAAAAAGATGAACTGGAGACCTGTCCAGGGTGTACCCCGCCTCTAGCACAGTGACTGCTGGATATGAGCGCCAGTGACTCCCGCAACCTGAAAAGGAAGAAGCGGGTAAAGAGGATGGATGTTTGTTTGTGTGTGTGCCCTGTTAGAGTATCAGAAAGTGTCCTGAGCAATAACACCATGTTCAGGCCAACTGGGCCAGCGTAAGACGCAGTGATTTCAGCTAAAATACTTCTCATCATTCTCTGCCATGAAAGGCAGGAACTCGTGTAATTGTCTCTGTCTGTAAACAAACTGTTGTGAACCACTGGATGGGTTTAAACACAGAAAGTACGGAGTACGGTAATCATGTAGATGAACATCTACATGATTATCTTTCGATTCAAAATGGCCACCACATCTAATCAACCTAAGCAAACATAAAAATAGCTTCTTATTTAAATTGTTATTTTTTTATTTTTCCTACCTGTAAATTGAGTTTGAATTCAGTGTGGATAAATGAGGACAGATTGTGTTGTAAAGAGCTTTGAGTGTCTTGATAAGATAGAACGGTGCTATACAAGTACAGACTATTTACATACTTTTAAGTACTAACAGATCACACAGTGTCTAACTTTAGCATGCAAGATAGCAGTTGATACTTATTCTTTCAAGAATTGTTACTTTCATTTTTATCAGAGATACATTGATGAATGATGTTTACAGACAGTATTTCAGGGTTTAACTGTATTTTTTTTTTTTTTAAGTTTTTTAAGTAATCCAAAATCATAATTTTTTTTGTCAGTTACTGTATTTGATCTAGGGGCTGTGGTCTCATGATCCTGAGGCTGCAGACTCGAGCCCAGGTTTTGTCAGGGAGCCTATCCTTCAAAAAACAATTGTCAAATCATTCATGAGTTTGTTCCCTGTAGCAACCCCTGAAGAAGAGAGCAAGAAAGGACAGAAAACTGACTGTATGGTATTTTCAGCATGTGTCTCTTGTTATTTTAGCTATTATTGCAACATATGGTGTATATATGTACAAGAAAATATATATTTTTTATTTTATTTAGTGTTGTATTATCAGCTGTGTCTGTTACGTGTCGGTGCTCATTATAAAATACAAATGTTTCCTTCCAGGCAGAACTTCAATTAAATCAGTTTAAACGTGGTTCTACAAACTCGTGGTTGTCTGGTTTATAAAGCAATTACGGTGTCAGTTTTAAATAGGACAGATATTTAGAACAATTTAATTAGTTAAAAAACAAATAAAATAATAAAGGCATCAACAATAAAAGTCACTCCTTAAACAAATGCATTTCACCCGCTGCCTTTCACTCCAGAGTTTTAAACTAAAATCATTTTATGGGAAGAAATGATGGAGTTGTATCTGTTTTGGTCAGACCTTGAACATAATGTTACATGCAATCTCAAAGAGAATGTATTGTGGATGAGTCCCAGTTACTACCACTTCAAACTGTAGCTCAGTATCTATAAAATTCACAGAATTGAAGCCATTTTTGTGGTTGCAAATGTTGATTAGCTGTGGCAGCCATCTTGAACTGGGTTGGCTCTAAACATTAATCGGTTGTAGATGTACAAAATAGTTTCATTAAAATTCATCCAGTGGATCATACAATATTTTTCTAACAGTCAGAATTGGCTCTAAATATTTATAATAATAATATTGTGTTATGTGTTGTCATTATTTTATGTTTCAATGGCGAAATTGGATCTCTGCATTTAACCCATCCACCACCAGGTGGAGCAGTGGGCAGCTATTGAAAGCACCTGGGGAGCATTTTGGGGATGAGAATGGGCTGCCCAAAGACACCCTGAGATGTGGAATGACTGGGGATCAAACCTGGGATTTTCAGGTCCCGAGTCGGCTGCCCTGCCTCTGCATCATAATGGCAACATTAAATAAAAATCTTATTCAATCTGTTAGAGCTTGGTGTATGTGGTGTGGATCAGTCTCGGCTACAAAACACCATGTATGAGATCAATAGCTGTAAAATTTGATTGGGTTACAACCATTTTTTTATGGTCAGTTGTCTGTGGCAGCCATCTTGAATTTGGTCCAAAAGTTCAGTTGCACCCGATCATCGTCTTTGGCTTCTCTTTGGTTCAAGCGGTGACCAATGGTGCGATCTGACACTGATGACCATTGGAGTTCACCTCTTATCTGTTTGAAAGTTGTTCGGAGCTCTTTGGTCACCGTTCATATTTGTTGTCTCTTCAGTCTGCCAGTTTCCCTTTTGTGGACATGTCCAAAGAGGTTAGCTATGCCATCCATCCATCCATCCATTATCTTCCGCTTGTTCCGAAGTCGGGTTGCGGGAGCAGCACCTTGAACAGGGAGGTCCAGACGTCTCTTTCCACAGCCACCTCTTTTTTTCTCTTCTGGAGGGAGCCCAAGGCGTTCCCATGTCTCTCCAGCATGTCCTGGGTCTTCCCCGGGGTCTCTTCCCAGTCGGACATGCCCGAAGCACCTCGCTAGGGAGGCGCCCGGGGAGCATCCTTACCAGATGGCTGAACCACCTCAACTGGCTCCTCTTGATGTGGAGGAGCAGCGGTTCTACTCTGAGTCTCTCCCTGATAACTGAACTTCTCACCTTGTCTCTAAGGGAGAGTCCAGCTACCCCGCGGAGGAAACTAATTTAAACTGCCTGTATCCTCGATCTCATTCTTTCAGTCACTGCCCAGAGCTCATGACCATAGGTGAGGGTAGGAACGTAGACCGACCAGTAAACCAAGCGCTTTGAGTACATCTCAGCTTCTTCTTTACCACATATGTTAGCTATGACTGATTGTTATTATTTAATTTGTAGTTTTTCCCCCATTGTATTACTTTAGTTAGTTTCATTAGTTTCATTTTGTTAATTTTAGTGACCTTTGTGCTTTTTTGGTCACAAGAGTACAAAGAAATATGTCCTTGTGTTTATGGTTGTCCAGCTGGTTGATATAGATTCCTTAGGTAAGAGTGTCCTGCACAGTATTTTTAAAAATCCAATGTCCTGCTTTATTTAGGAACGGTACATGAAGGTTTCTTGCCTGCCTTGACGTTCACATTGTTCCTATTTTTTCAGTGAAGTTGTTGAATACTCCTTACCCAAGCTGTTGAACAACCTTCAGATTAGTCACGAGGAGGTAAGACTGAAACCTTCAAACGATGGCACTCGGTGAAAACAGTCCTCCCAGTAAACACTCAACGTACCCTTTATTTGCTCTGATCTTCAGCTGGTTGACCTCTGTATTTTGCTGGGCTGTGACTACTGTGACAAGATCCCTGGCCTGGGTCCTAAGAGAGCTCTGAGCCTGATCCAGAATCATCATACTATTGAGAACGTGGTTTTGCACATTAATAGACAGGTATCAGAAGAACAAACTTCTCTAGTGGTGCTTCTATGTCTTGTTATAAAAAAAGACGATCAAATGAGTCAGATTTTTGCTTCTCCTTAGACCCATCCAGTCCCACATTTCTGGAAATACAAAGAGGCAAGGAAGATTTTCTTGGAGGCACCACAGACCACAGTTGCTGAACTCATCTGGACCGAGCCGGATGAAGAAGCCTTGGTCAGGTTCCTCTGTCACGTCAATCATGTCAGGTTTGTGCTTCGCTCAAGCCATCTGCCTTTTTTCACATAATGCTGTAAATTCATAAATTCCAACGGATATTAGTCTAATTTGGGCCTGTATATTTCAGGGAGGAGAGGGTTCGTCATCGAATGAAGACGTTTCGTGACAGTCGAGAAATTAGGCGAGCGGGGAGAGAAAAGGAGAAGACAGCAGGAAGTCACAGGCAGAGCCGGATGGAGGACTTCTTTAGAGTTACTAGAAAAAGAGAACAAGTAAGTCATAGCAAATATATTTATATTAACTTGAGCATTTTAAAGCTTACAAAATATAATTAAATGTATTATACCAGTGTTGCGTCGGTATAACCAGCTCCCGTCTTTAACACCAGGGTTTTTACACAGTCTAGAAAAGTTTATGTATCGTATGGGGTTTGTTTTTAAATATTTTCTGGTTCTGGATAAGTGTAGAAAAATTACTTTCCAGATTTTTTTCTGTTTCTTAAACCAAAATCTGAATTTTTAGGAAAAAAGAACAACAACAAGAACAAAAGTCCCACAATTTTTCTGTTTTCACTATGCAAAATTAAGATAATAACCTGAAGTTTCTCTTAATGATGGCATCCTGAATGGCAGCTGTGTATAAAAGCAAAATATATCGTAAAACTTAGTATTTTATGCAACTTTCAGGCAAACATTAGCCCAGCTATAAACCCCAGTTTGTTTATTTATTTTGTGTTAGTAACATTCTTTTACAGAATTTATATTAGTTGTTGAAGAAGGCTTAAACAATTTCATTAGGACTATCAATGTACAGTAGTCCCTCGCTACTTTGCGGTTTGACTTTCGTGGACTTGCTCTTTCGTGGTTTTTTAAAATAAGATTGGACATGACACGCAATTGACTGACTGACGGATCAGCCGCAATATCAGCATGGAATTTTAATTTATAATAAATTATTTTAAATTATTTATCACCTGCTGCACCTGTGTGCAGCCCACATGTGCAGGGAGATGCTCTCTCCTGCAGCATGTCATGATCTCCGTTCTGCAGCAGAGAAGTGGGCGTGGCCGAGAGCAGTGGCAGAGAGCAGAGATCATGACATGCTGTGAGCTTTTAGAGTTTAGAAAATTGCAAGAGTCTGGGAAGCGTTTATAGTACTTACTACTTACACTGCTATTCCTGCTTCGTGGACTACTGTAATAGAAAAACATTCAAAACATTTGCCCCTATAAACAGTTTCCTGAAATTAATTTTTCCGAACAGTTGTTTTGTTCTCGTCTGCTGTTAAAAGTGAAAAGGCAATGTTTATGCCCACGTCAGTTAGCAAAATATCTCTTGAATCAATAAAAACATTTAACCCTTAAGAGTCAGTTTTGTTTGCTTATTAGCAAAATGGTTCATGAACCAGTGGGTGGATATATCATACCATACCATACCATTTTATTTATAGAGCACTTAAAACAGCTACAACGCCAACCAAAGTGCTGTACAGACAGAACAACAGACAACACATGAAGCAGTATACAAAATGAAGTAAATCAAAAATATAGACATAAAATCGATGCAGATAATAAATATGATGACAAACCAGTGTGGAGCATACAGGTTCAAAACACAGATCCTCTGGTGTTGAAAGCTACTGAATAGTATCCAAAAAAGTTCAATCTGGTCCTCTGGACATTCAAAAAACAAAAAACAAAACAAAGCAAAAAAAAATCTAGAAACGTTTCGTCTCTCATCCGAGAGACTTCCTCAGTCTGAGGTGCTGTTTTCAGCTCAGTCTCTTAAATAGCACCTTCTCAGAGTGGATCAACCAGTTTGCTGCTGACAACCAAAACCAGCTGATCACATGATCAAGAAGGACCATCAGCCTAACAATGGATCATTAGCACACTGATGGCTGTTTACTACTCACAGAGGGCTGAGTGATACTAGCAATCACAGCAGTGTAAGAGAGGGACAGTTGGACAGTTGGCTACTGAATAGTAGTGAGTTTTTAAATGGGATTTGAAAACCGAGAGGGAGGGGGCCTGTCTGACAAGCAGAGGTAACTCGTTCCAAAGTCTTGGTCCTGCTACATAGAAGGCCCTGTCACCTCTGCGCTTAAGACGAGATCCTGGAACTGTGAGGAGCAACTGGTCCGCTGACCTCAGGGAACGTGGGTGGATATTGCCTAAATGCTGGTGAAGATTCTCAGTCTCATCAGATATTGCCTAAGCTTTCAGAAAGTAATAACTAAATGTAGATCTACACCTGATGACCTTTTGTAGTTAACATAATTCAAAATGGCTATCACAGCAGCTCGACCAACACAAAAATGGCTACAACTCAGTCAGTTTTATACATCTTAATATAAAATTTGGTGTGGAGGTAGCTGAGAGTCATCTTCAACTTATACCTTGATCCGTTATGTGGCAAATTTGCCTAAAACCTTGACATTCACTGTTGGAAGTGCTGAACAAATTTCAAAGAAAGTCTCAGAAAGTTATTATTGTTTGTATGCCTACATCTGATCGACTTTCAGAGTCAATCTATTTGAAGACAACAACTAGTTGACCTTAGCCTACACAAAAATGACTATAAATGTTGAATTTTATTAATATCGAGTTAAAATTAGCTGTTCTAGTAGGTCAGAGTCATTAATAACATTTCAAACACCAATAAATCCTGCAAGATTCAAATATTTCCTGTTAGTAATTTTGGCCCATAAATTAACAGAGAAATGTAAAATTTTAACACTCAAAAGGTAGAGACTAACATTTCTAACTGTGATGAAACCCTGTTTTGTATTCTTAAATCCGTAATTCGGTGATTTGAATTGTAAATCTATTTTTGTCTTCCTTTTTATAGGCTTTGGAAGCTGACTCTTCATTGGACGAAACCAAAAAGAAACGAAGATGAAGAAGCTGTCATCATCTCCAGATGACTGAACTGTTCTCAAATTTCTCCCAAAGACCAAAGAAATAGAAATAATGTACCGGTATCCGACAGCTTGTCAATTTTATGATCCAATTATGAGTCTGCAAACATCTGTGTTCATGGCAGTGTAGTCAATGAGCAGTTCCTTGTGCATCATGCAGTTTCCTGCAGCGCCTGTGACACAAGCAGATCAGGAGATGTACGGCAATGAAAGAGAACAGTGTGGTCACTGTTGGGAAGGCTTTTCCTAAAGCCAAAACTGGACACAAGTGATGTTTCTTCACCAGATATTCAATTAGGCACCTGTTGTGTGAAAGGAGCCAAGGCAGAAACCAAAGGCTTGAATGTTAAGACATGCACAAAGGTTGTAAAATGTCTTAAAAGATCAGTAAGATGATTTAATCTACACCTGAAAAATTTTGTTTTGCAAAAATGCAACTATATTAGCATTTTTCTGTTGTAAATATTGTAAATTGCATGAAGCATTTTAGTAAACAAGCTTTCTTTGGGATCTATTCTATTTTGACTGACGTCATTAATCATTAATGGTGATGTGGAGCTTGCTTGGAACTATTTTCATAATCGTTTCGTTCATTTTGTAAATAAACACGCTCCATTTCACCAGTTCAGAATAAAGGGCTGGAATAGCCCCTCGTTTACTTGAGTTATCAGATCTCTTGCACAGGATGGATCAGCTTTGGGCAACAGCAAGAAAGTCTGGTTCAGATACTCAGTTGTTGCAATTTTGTCAATTACGGAATCACTGTACAGCTTCTATTAAAGCTGCATAACGAAATTATTATTTATCTAGAAGTCAGTACCAGCAGTCCTTCCTTCTATGTGATCTTCAAATGGTGCTCTTATTGAGTTTGTTCATTCTTAAAAATACTTGGGTATCTTGGTTGATTCACATCTCTCTTTTAAGCCTCATGTCGAAAACTTGGTAAAGAAACTGAAAGTTAAACTGGGTTTCTTTTTCAGAAATGGATCCTGTCTAACTCTGAATGCTAGGAAACATCTTGTAACTGCTACGTTCCTTCCCTCCATTGATTACGGTGAAATTATTTACATGAACGCTCCTACAAGCACCCTGTTGGACGCTGTTTATCACGGAGCGCTAAGATTCATCATTGGCTGTAACTATTGTACCCACCACTGCACCCTGTATTCACTGGTTAACTGGTCATCATTAACTTCACACAGACTCTCACTGGGACATTTTCATCTTTAAATCACTTCTTGGTCTGCTGCCTTCATACATCTCCTCCTACATGTCTCTGCGTGAGTGCAGTTACAGCGTGCGCTCTCAGGACATTATTACCTGCAGTGTTCCCTCAGTGAGGACTGAACCTGGCAAAAGGGCCTTCTACTCTGCTCCTGTTTCCTGAAATACCTTTCAAAAAGATCTGAAGTTGTTGACTTTGACCACTCTAAGGGATTTTAAACATCTGCTAAGTTCATGGCAAAAAGCCACACAGACATGTTCCCGTTTTTAGTATTTTGCATGACTTTATAATGTAGCTGTTTTTGTTTTATTTTTAATATAATTTCTCCTATTTACTTTTCATTTTATATGCTTTTTATATGATTGTCTATTGTTGTCTGTACGTCATCTGTGTTCTTTGTTTAAACCGGGTCTCTCTTGTAAATGAGTCTTTGTGGCTGAATAACCTGTATAAATAAAGGTTGAATGAATTTCAGACCATCTAAGATCTGAATGACCCTAAGAGTTTGTCGTGTACCATCTCTTTCTGGCAGCACTCACTCATCTGATCCTCCACCACAATTTGACTCTGCTCCTGTGTCAAATAAGCAGTTTCCAGTTTCTCATTTGATACAGTTTCTAACGGTAAATTACTTTCCTTCACATGTCAAACCTGAAAAAAACTACACCTTCTCATTTTCATCGTTCTCTGTCTGTGAGGTCGCTAAACTGTGAAAAGGTCTAGATTCTAGAAAATCTGCAGGCCCTGATGACCTCCCTCCTTATTTTTTACTTTTAGTTGCACACATAATAGCAGAACCAATGTCATACATTGTTAATCTCTATACAACAGTATTGTTTCAGATGCTTGGAAAACAGCTTTTGTGCTGCCATTATTGAAGAGAGAAGACCCCACTATATTGAACAATTATCGACCAATCTCTAAACTGTGTTTTAGAAAAACTGATAAATACTCAAGTCAGGAAGTATTTGTACTCAATACTTTATCTTCTCTCCAATCTGGCTTCAGGAAACAACACAACATGACGACTGCTTCACTAAAGGTTTTTAATGATGATGTTGAAGCATCGGAAGCTAAGGATTATTGTGCTGCACTTTATAGACCTGTCTAAAGCCTTACTGTAGATCATGACATCTTAGGGTCTCTGATGGTTTCTCAGATCACACTGTTGGTTGTTTTTCTAACTATCTCAGGTCAGAAGAAACGTGTTCGACATAATGGTACTTTCAGCTAGCTATTTAACCATCACTAATGGTGTGCCACAAGGCTCAGTTTTAGGACCCACTCTTTTTACAATTTATATACAGTAAGTAATTTAATGTAGTTGAAAGCATTGCTAACACCTCCTTGCATTTTTATGCTAATGATAGTTTATTGTCGAGCTAACACAGTTGCCAAGGTTTTCCAGCTTCTACAGTATGCATTTGACATTATTCAGGCAGACTTATTCCATCTCAAATTGGGGCTAAACTCTGAAAAACCAAGGGGATGTTTTCAAACACAATGTTGGTCCCAGCAGTTCCTCCTCCTATCTCATCCATACGGACTTCCTATTGAGTTTGTGGACTTTTACAAATACTTGGGAATTTTAATTGATGCATATCTATTTTAAGCCACATAGTGAGAACTTGTTAAAGAAATTGAAACTGGGTTTCTTTTTCAGAAATAGATCTTGTTTAACTCTGTCTGGTCTCCGTGTCGACCTCTGAAGAGGGAAAAACCGAAAGGTCTTTTTTAACTCTGAATGCCAGGAAACGCCTTGTAGCTGCTACTTTCTTACCGTCCATTGACTATGGTGACATTATTTATATGAATGTCCCTCCCAGCTACTTGCAGCTGTCTACCATGTCTATGAAGATTCATAACTGGTTGTAACTACCATTCATCACTGCACTCTGTACCGTACTCATTGGTCATTTGATCATCAATATCTACATGTTGGCTCTCTCACTGGTACATCTTCATCTGTAAATCATTCCTTGGTCTGCTGCCTTCACATATCTCCTCCCACATGTCACGTCGTCAGTGCAATTACAGTGTGCCCTCTCAGGCCATCATTACGTGCAGTGTTCCCACAGTGTGGACTGAACTTGGCAAAAAGGCCTCTTCTTACTCTGCTCCTGCAACCTGGAACACCTTGCAACAAGAACTGAAGCTGCCCACTTTGATTTCTTTAAGGGATTTTAAACATTTGATAAGGTCATTAGAAAAATCTAACAAAATATGTTCTTGTTTTAAGTATTTTACCTAGTTTTGTATGACACTTTGATTTTACTGTTTCTATAACACTATTTTCATTTTAATTGATTTTATTGTTGTGAATTGTCTGTATACTCCATATGTTGCCTGTCTAAAACAGGTCTTCCTCGTGATTTAATGAGACTACATGTATAAATAAAAGGTTAAATAAATAAAAAAGAAATATGTGATTGTTTTTATTTGAATTAAAACAACATTTAGCTGTATTTGGCTGTGTTGCTTTTGTTACAGTTAGGAAATATTTATTTGTATGAAAGGAAAGAGTCACGCATGCTCAGGTTGTAACTTGTGCAGGCGCTGTGCCCTCCATCATGCCAGACCTGGATGGAAAAACTAGATCAATTCATCTCAAGGCAGCCTTTGATTGTGCTATTTTTTAAAATTAGACATAAGGGCTTTTCATTTTTCAATTGAAGATAATTAGTGTACATTGCATCATTGTTGGTATTTATCAATACATTATATAAATCCATCCAAAAAACTAGTTAACAGGCCAACAAAAAGTTTGTCAATATTTGACTTCACTACGTAGTTTTATGATATCCAGTCAAACAACTTTAGGAGAAAAGATTTCAAATGAAAACATGCATAAATAATTTTGTCAAGTCACATCTCGGTACTCAGCAAACTTTGTAATTACAAGTCCATCCATCCATCCATTATCTTTACCTGCTTATTCCATTTTGGGTCACGGGGGTCGCTGGTGCCCATGTCCAGCAATCACTGTGTGAGGGGCGGGGTACACCCTGGACAGGTCTCCAGTTCATCACAGAGACACATCGAGACAAACGAGACAAACAACCATTCACTCTCTCACTCACACCTAGGGACAATTTAGAGTTACCAATCAGCCTAACATGCATGTTTTTGGTCTGTGGGAGTAAACTGAAGTACCCAGAGAAAACCCATGCATGCACGGAGAGAACATTTAAACTCGACCAAGAACGGCCCCTGGCCTGGATTCGATCCAGCAATCATTTTACTGAGAGACAACAGCTCTATCAACCGAGCTCTCAAGTGACTTATATCATATTATATTATATTATATTATATTATATTATATTATATTATATTAT